TTCATCGCTGCGTTAGAAAATGGGGCTTAGAAAGTGGGTGGGTGGGTGGGGTGAAAATCCGCCACTGCTGGGAGAATGAGAGGAGGAGAGTGAAAGATAAGGAGAGTGAGAAAGTTTGAAAATGAAATTCGTTGGGACGGGTAGGGGTGGAGCAGATTATGTTTAATTAAATTTTTATTAATTATAATTATTAAAATCTAATTATCTCCTGATATATGAATTTTAAACTAATTCACCCGATTTATGATAATTAGTCTTTAATTGTAGGTTTCAAGGTAATTTTCTCTAAACTATCAGTACTCCCTTGGGATCCAAAACCAAGTCTCAAATTTGAGCAATATAAAGTTATTTCTATTCTTCTAATTTTTCTATATGGGATTGTCATAGTTCAATTTCTTGCCGTGTTTTATCAAGTTTATTTCAACTTCAAGTGGTCATCTTTTATCCTTAGTTTTTCATTCACTTTAAATTGATTTTGAGAAAATAAATACATTACATTAATATACTCATGGAGTAAAATATACTCGCCAGTGAGTTTTATATTTTTTGAAAAATTGTCAATAGATTAGCAATTATATGACACCTCAACTCTAAATTGATTGTTACTTACAATGTGTCTAGGTTGTAGAGAATGCTCCAACCTATAATGAAGTGGTTCCTTGTTCTCGACTATCTTAGTGTGTGTTTGGTAGGGATTTTGGAGGAAGAATTGATTTTTGAATAGTGATATGATGGGAAATGTGTGGTTGAAAAAGAAGAAAAAGTTATTGATGTGATGGAAAGTATTATTTTATTAAAGAATGTGTGGTTGAAAATGAGAATTGATTTGAGAATTGATTTTGAAAATCACAACCAAACAGACTCTTAGTGACCTCCTATTATCGATAGTACCTAAGCGTACCAATCAAGTAATTGATTCCATCTTAGTTTATAGGGCAACGTCCTTGCATTATCAGCGCTCTGCACACATTATAATCATATGGGTTTATAGCTATAGTGTGTGATGAAGGTCCATCTCATAAATGTAAATACCATAGCGAATTCATCATCGTCATTCTCTTTTTGAAGTTTTTAAAGATCATCTGCTATCTTATCCATCTTATTTTTGTCGTCCTCTTTGGAGTTCAATTATACTCCCTTAAAGAGTTGACAAGGATAAGATTGCCAAAGAAAGTTTTGAAACGCCAAAAAAAGGATAATTTTCCCGAGAGAGAAGTATAGTTGAGCAGTGACAAATGGTTTGACGACAAATAATGGTTTTCTATAAGTAATCCGTCGGTAATTTTATTTGCCTAGAAAACAAGAAGTAAAATATTCGTCAACATTCCAATTCTAATGGCCACTGACAATGTTTGTCGATGAACTTCCATCTTTGTTGACGCCTTTTTTAGTAGTGAACAGTCCGTATATCTTCTTGAAGAAAATCAAACCGCGCATAGAGAGCTTAGACCCCGTTTGGCATGAATTTTGAAAAGCCAAAAGGAGCTTTTGAGATCCAAAAGCTGCTTTTGGACACATTTAGCTAATTTTATGAAAATGCTTTTGATAGTTGAAAAAATTTTTGAAAGAAATTAGTTCAATGTAGCTTCCTCTAAAAGCACTTATAGAATAGAAAGTGTGTTTAAAAATTAGTTTCCAAACAAAAACTAAGATTGCTTTCTCCAAAAGCTCTTCTGCAAACGTCGTGCCAAACAGGCCCTAAATCTAAACAAAAAGGCAGTCTTTTGGCATCTCAGAAAATCGAGCCGTATCATTACAATAATCATATACCAAGAACTTGTTGCGAACCCAATTTAATTGCCTTTTCCTTTGCTGCTTCAACCCCTTCATGACAGGCTTATCCCACCAGAATTGCCCCAATTTTCCACATTTCACCACGGGATCATCTACTTCATCCGGTGATAATTCACATGCATCAATATCAAATGACTGAAATGTAGTAACAAATGGGGAATAGCTCCAATTAATCTTCACCCTCCCTCCTTGTGTAGCCCAATCATCAGCATTCCATAATGATCCATGAATTCCCATTGGTTGATTTTTCGGATATGGGACCCCTTTTTTCTCCTTGCTCGAAAATTCTCGAATCGGAATATCATCCACAAGAAATCTGGATAATCAAGATCAAGAAAATTACCAAGAAATCTAATTAGCACAAATTTGTTGGCACTATATGATTGATAAGATTTTGAACTTAATGAAAAATAAAAATAAGTGTTTTTAGCGGATGCATCATGCAAGAAGAAAGAAAGCTGCTGACAAAAGAGGGTTATTTACTCTTTTAACCAATTAACAAAAATCCAAAGACTGATATTACATATAATTCAGCTTCTGTTTTCATGGCTTGCATGTGAAGACTGAGCTAATATATGGTGCATATATAAAGAGATTAATATTAATCTTAAGATTATCATACTTGAGATTTAACACGAGAACAGCTAATTAAAGTTAAGTGAGACAGATTGTTTACTTACAAGATGGAGCGACGATTCCAGAAGAACGAGTAGGTATGGAAGTCCATAGTTGGATCGAACCATAGACTGTGCCTCTGCTCTCGATTTCCACTGCCATTAACGTATATGTTTGTCTGTACGAGGTATGGTTCTCCTGAAACATTGCCAAGAAACTCAAAGTCTAGCTCATCGTGGTTATTCCCATCAGATGCCATCTGCACAAACATTAATTATCAACATATATTACGAGACCATGTTTGGTACACTCGATTAATGAACGTATGTGTGATATCCATGCATTTTCCGACCTAGTCTTGACCAGTTGTTCAAACCGGATATGCTAATAAAGTTGAGAGTCTTACGTAGAAAGCAATAACGGTTCCAGCTGAATTGCCTTGAACTAGTTTGAGTTGAGTAGTGGCTTTCCCAAATAGATACTTTTTCTTGGATTCAAATCCACAACCTGTGCAAGATCAAAACTGTCAAATGAAAACAAATGGAAATTGAAATCGAAATTGCAAAACTCTTGTAAAAATTACTTACCGGTAGTGTTGTCGAGAGACAATGAAATTTCGTCCCCTTGAATGACGATGTGGTCAGGTGCCCAGTTTGGCTGGAAAATCTCACTGAAATTAGCTGAATTCACAGCATGTACGAACAGAAGCAGAAGCATAGCCAGGTTGAATAATACCAATATCATTATCATCGTTGATTTTGATAGCCAAATCATTTGAACAAAATGAACCTATTTATAACCTTTCAATTAATTTCCATCAGAAAGAACATAAATTTAATAGAAAAAAACAATAATTAAAACATAGAATTGGGATAGTGGGAGTCATGAGAACAGTCATCACTCACTATAGATAGCTGGCATTCAGGGTTTTGGGGAATCAACATGGCAGTGAGATTCCCCACCCACAAAATTTAATATTTTCCCATCATTTTTATTTTTTCATAGTATCGCTTTAAGGCATTAAGAAGGATAAATATGCAACTTGCTATTATATGTAGCGAAGCACTTGGCCTTTTCTTTGTTCTACTTGTGTCTCCGGGTTATCAGCTTTTTCTGCATTTACATTACCTACCAAAGCCAAGGAATTCGAGCATTAACCCAGAAGTTGAACGAAGAGGAACTTGGCCTCATCAAAATGCAAACTTCCAATTCAAACACAAAAAGCACCATAATCTTGTCAAGACAAAGTGCTCAAAACAAAGATCAATTACCCAGCATTGTGCTTTGTTGGACTGTAAAAATACCATTAGCTTTGTTAAAGTAGGAAGACCTAAACAGGAATGTATAAAAATGGAAATAATATATCAACTTGCTTGTACAAATAATATTCGAAGAAGAAAACCTCAGTTAATCTAAAATTGACAAATAATATTTGAAGAAGAAAACCTCAGTTAATCTAAAATATTATTGTCTACAGTTTTGACAAGTCAGTCGGATAAAATACTAGTTAAATAATAACCTAAATTTCCAACAATCTCCAGCTGCTTGAGAAAATTTCCACCCCATTTAAAAAAGAAGACCTTCAAGCCTATAAGAAGATTTGGCCGTAAACAGAAGTTGCAGCGAGACACCTTGGTCTGGTCATTAAACTGCTTGGTGCTCATTATATCCCATCATCACAAGTGACACATGCTTCCTCTGGTAATCTGAAGCTTAAACAATACATTGCCTGAGGAGAATGAAAGAACATCAAAATCTTAGATTTTGACTTCACGCACGATGCAAATAGATGGATCTAAGTCAACGAAGTATTGCTGTAGCTTGTACCTTGTTTGGAGCAACATTTCTGACCCGAAAAAACACTGGGTCTTGTATACTAGCACCCAATGCAGTCTCTGCTTCCTGTACACCAGTAAACCCCAGTTTAGATGCAACATGCACAAGAAAAATGAACAATCTTATGGTGAAAGAGCATTATGAAATTCATAAAGGATGTGAAACATGACCAAGTGGGAGATAGACGTCAATCATCTCTTGGTGTCCTACTGGCTACTCCACCCAATCCCCAGCATTTTGAAGCTTTATTTAAATACAATGTTGTTGTTTTGTGAATAGTATAATATGAAATCATGAAGTTACTTGCGTATGTAAATACTCAAATGACAAAATAATATTCATGTAGTTTACATGCTTGCATCCAGTGGACTTGTCTTGGATAAAGATAAGCAGAAGTGACAAGTGTCTTGTGTGAACTTTCATAACGAGTCTTTAAACCCATTATCATTTTGCATTTTGACTGCAGTGCCATGTGAACTGTAACATATAAAATGCAAAGCAAAAGATGTTTAAAGTCGTAGTTTGCTAAAAGCCAACAAACGTAAACAAGATGATTGCCTTAATGGAATAAACAAGAAGGATGTATTTCCTAACTGCCCAAATGGAAATCAGTTTTCGCTTCCAATAGATGCTTCTAAAAAAATTAAATTTAGACAGCCAAAACTGCCATAGGAGAGTTTTACTAGTTTCACAAGGTGTTGGTTTCGGATGTGCGCTATCATCTAAATTTGAGAACGACCTATTCCAGTTTTCAAAATAATTCACGGCTTTAGGTTTTTGTGAACAAACCCAAAGAATAAGGCAATGCAATTCAGCACTGGTTAAAAAAAATTGTTCTCAATTTGCTGCAAAAGCCCGGCCAAGACATTCTTGAGAGTAATTATTTTGATCACGTTGCCCAAACAAAAATTCAAGTATGGAACTCTCTTGGGAATATGTCACGCAAAATATGCTCACATATGGACTCAGCATGTTGACAGTGTCATCAGCTCAAGATGCTAGTTGGGGAGAGCAACAAAAAATACTGGATAAAACATTTAATATGTGCCACCGCATCATCAACCATCAGCACAACCTCCTCCACCATACAACCCCTCCATTTCTCAAAAACAAAGGCAAAATAAACAAGTTACTGTCTTTCAGGAAACTACTTACTGATATTATATATTCCTTTGTCTCAGTTGATCGCATGAAGCAATAACAGTGAATCCAAGGCAGAGATCCTTTCCAATATCTCATCTGGATAAGGTCTCTAAAGACATCTGCAAAACGAAACTCCAAGCATGAAGATCAGACCTTAACTCAGAGACCAAACATGCAACACGTGCCACCTCAATGTTAGCAGACGTGGAATTAAGGTGGAACCATGAAGATTTACTATGGCAATGAAGTAATCAGCAACAAAATACCAGAAATTTAGAAAGATGGAGAGAAAAAAAGGCTAAATTTGCAACCAGCTGAACCTCAAAAATATCTAGCCTATGATCAATACTGCACTAAATTTCACCAAATTCCAGGAAGCAAGCTGTTTGCCGCTCAATTACTAATGAAATTTCAATGGGCTTATTCTATAATGTATACTGCCTACAGAAGATACCATGTAAGAGTAAGTCAAAAGGATAATAAGATGCTGTTATAGATTCCGCATTTTATATAAGAGAAGTATGAGAAACAAACAACTGTAATCATTAATTTTACCATTCAAATTTTAACAGCTAAAGAAAAAGACTTAGATAACTCATCGAAAAATTGTAGCCAACGAGACAACTAAATTTTCGTAGTAAGCAATTACAAGTAAGGATCTCAAAAAAGAAAGTCAAGCAGTGAGAGGATGGAAGATTTACCAAGAAATTGTAAAGCAGAGGCTGGTAGATTCATAATGACATGATCAATGTGCTCCCAAGGCCTTGTGCTGAATGACACACAGCCTCTCAAGCGCTTATTTAAGCCTTGTTTCTTCTGACCACCCACAACAGTACTTACACATTCAGCCATTCCACTTTCTGCAGTGGACAACATAGGCAAAATGAGTCTCGTGCATAAGAATACATTGGAGTCCATTATCAAATACTGAGAACATAAATATTGTGAAGAACAACATAAATAATTGCAGTAACATTTCTAAGAAATTCGAAAATTGAAAGATCTCTCCTATATACGTGTACCACATCATACCTTCAAGTGGACTTCCAGGACGCCTTTTTGCAGTGGTCAAATTTGAATCCTCCTTCATTCGTAACTGCCCTATACTCTTAGAATTATTTAAATTCTCTTCTGGTATTTCTTCCACCTTGTCTTCAGGGAATATTAAGTTTTAGTTAATGATTGACAGATTGTAATTGAAATGAATGCAATACAGCCAAAGAGAACAAATTACCAGTTAGACAACTATCTTCAAAGTGTGTTTGCCTATTTTCATTCATGTCCCATTTCTCACAAGACTTTGAGATGACTTCATTTGATAGGGATTTACCTTCACTTGAAGGTGCAACCAACAGCTCAGCAATAAAGTCTCGTGCATCCTTATTGTATGCATGAATTAGATTATCAACCTTGTTGATTTCTGCATTGATTTTCAGATAGCGAACACTATCTGGATTCAAATCATTTGCATATACTACGCATCCTTTCTGCGCAGCAGGAATTGCGAATGGACCGATCCCAGCAAACATATCACAAATAATATCCCCTGCCTGGAATTCCGAAATTAGCCTCAGATGCTCATGTTCCAATCTTGAATTCCAATAGACAGAACTATAATCAAGTTTGAATGTTGCACCATACTGCTTCACTTCTGTAGCCATATTGTCATCGCCAGCCAGTATTTCAAATTTAGGCACACGAAACTCATTCGTTATGGATCCAACTTTATTGACAATCGTCTTGATTCTGGGTTGATTTTTCTGCAAGATACAAAATAGTGGTCAACAATAGACAGTGAGGCAACCTCAAATACATAGGAAAAGAAAGGTCAATCACTCTCTATCCTAAGCAGAAACCGAAGTGTTGTATAAGGCAAAAAATAGTAAACAACTTACGAAAACGATCCAAAATAAATGATAAGAATTATTTAACAACAGTAAAATTTGATGGTTAAGCACATGTTAAAACTGAAACACATAGGAAATGCATCGACAACAAGATTGAATCATCTGCACATGAATTATTTTAGATTAAGTCAAGATTCAAGAAATATCACAATATATTGGTCTCATAAAGACAACCAATCATCGTCATTATGAAATATTGGATCTTAAATTTGCAATAATATTTTTAGGATTACAATGATATAGTGCAAGAAATATCACAGATTTGGTAGATGTCTCTTTGTAGATAGCATAGATGTACATGTTTTGAAAAAACAAAAATCTTTTACAAGTAATATCCAACTTATTGTCCCAGCTTGGCCAATGTCATGACTACAGATGAAAAAAGCACCGATGCATAACATATAGCAGATCTATATATATTCATATGTCCAGCCAAATAAATTATGAAAATATCAATAACATATGTTAATCATAATTCAGGTTGCTGATTATTCTCAATCCAATTTGAAATTCCAAAATCACATAATAAAAACATTCAGAAGGAAAGCAAAATACATCTACAGTTCATAAATCTTTTAAAGCCAGCAAAATGTAGGCAAAATAACTTATTTGACAAAAAGAATGGACAGTCAAAAATTAAATAATTTCTCATTCAATTGGTAATGTAGTCTCACACAATTAACCTTCTAACAAATACAAAATAGCAGTGTAAATCAATTGTATTGAGAATAAGAGAGGATCTCGCAATAAAATTTCAATTGATTCAACAAGTTGAAATTTTATGATTCAGTCAACTATAAAACTGTCTCTGCGCTGTTATCTTTTCTACAT